CTAAGGTGGCAACGCACTGAAGAGAGAAATCCCATCCATTAATACTATGCCTTCATAATAAAAATTTATTTACTTATTTTATTTATATCAAATATCAGGCGTTTTGATGGGTATCATTAGCCCTTCAGTTGACTACGGGCCTCATAGAGAGGATGGAACATCAAAGTGAAAAAAATTCGAATTGGTTGAGGGGAACTGAACAGTGTTTCAGAGATGTAAAAGAGACAGACACAAAGGTAGAGAAAAAGGTAAAATGAGTACTGCGGAAGTGGTCGAAAATGACATACAGTGGGGTGATGGTAGTTTGAAGTGAGAAGTCAACTGCCAGTTAATAGACTTTTTTGTCGCATGAGTACACGTTGCCCAGGGTGCACTACGTGGAGGCTAGTCTATCGCACACCCCCCACAATAAAAAATTAAAAATAACGTTAACTTTATGACGTCTTGCCTAATAATTTAGAATATTGGATTGAAACTGGAAACCAATCATTTAAATTAATTAACTATTCGGTAAAATCTTGAAATCGTGGACATAATAAAATGAAAAATATAAAATTCCACACCTCTAGTCAGAAATTCAAACTCTCTATCCGTTATTGATCTGGTGCGTGAAGTGGTTGTAATTTTCATAGAGTTTATTCAAGATGCTTGAGGAAACCAGACGCTATCACTATTGCTGGCAAAATTGTACAAGCAGTCTCTTCACAGAATTAATGATTTCGCTATTAACTGATGGGATTGATTAGTTTTGCTCAAATGAGAAAACTGGGACTTAGGTTCAATGCCATGTGTGCTAGACAGGCACATAGGAACAAGAGAGGAAGTGCATTTGGCGAAAAATGAGGTCAAAATTGAACAGAAAAGGAAAATGCTTCTGCACTAGGCAAATCCAGCCCCGGATTGTCATAAACAAGGTGATTTGAGGTACAGTGATATGAGTGGCGATATGGAGGTCTCCATGATAATGCAGAATGCTCGGTGCTTAAAATCCCCCCGGCTGATCGCATGACGAACGTGGATCTGCCCACACCATTGAGAAACTTAGGTAATCGCCCATTGACACACGCCGAGCTTAACATCTCTTGTATTCTCACGATATCTACGTTCAGATGCGTGCATTTACTTAATCTCCTTACCCTTTCTCTTATAAACAACTCTGCTCCCACCACTCCAACACTCTTTATGCAACCCTGGACTAAATGGGTGAGTAGGTATAAGATTCACCATCATTTTTTCGCGAAACTAAATAAATTTAATAATAAAACTCCCAGCATAAGGAATGTAATATTAAAGGTTGAAGTTAGCCTCATTCGACAGCATAACTGATTGTCCAATCAGTAAAACTCAGCACTATTTGGCGCATTTATTTCTCTCAGTATTTTGCATATTGGCATTAGGATGTAATAATGAGTCGATTTATGATAATTTTAGTGTAATCCCCTCACTTATCTTAGGGATTAACAGGCGATTAAATGAGGATTAACAAGTTTCGAAAATTTAAGCAGCGGTTTAAGAGCTGTAAATACCTCGTTTTGAACAAATTGAAGAAATATTCTGGAGGCATATTTCCGGCAACGAATGACGACTTAGAGGCATCATTTTAATCTGCGTCTATATATTGCATTAACTAAGTATCTGCAAGAGCCGACCGGTCTGATGCTGATGAAAAGAATTCTAAAATACACAGGGCATTAACAATTACAAGTTTTAGGACTTGATCTGTGTTCTGAGTGCAAGGCCGAATACTCTAATATATCAATGGAAGAGTCAGCTATTAATACGTCTTATACCTCAACCTTCCTTTTCTTGAAACACTTACGCTAATGCCGATGCTCTGAAAGCTCTACAAGGAGAAGATTTTTCATTAGCTGTTTTCAACAGTCACTAAATTCATTGTCAACAGAAGAAAAACGTACATTTAAAATGTCAAAGTTCATACAATTTAATTTTGGCACAGCTTGTTCCATTCAGAGACCATAAAATCCATCATTCATGTTATGATAACTAAATAGCTCGGTAGTGACACTTTAATTCCGTTCCCTTCCAATCTCCCACTTTCTCCCATACCCGTTTCCTATCCTCTCTCTTTGCATAACATTCTTCCAATGCAAATTCGTCAAGCTGAATGCTATGTCTTTCCAGCATGCTGTAAGACTTGCTTTCACCACATATTTCGCATCTCCGTTGTTGCTGATAACTTGATTTCATATTTAGCTACTCAGGAAACTTGATGACACTCATTCGAAACTCACATAGAATGGAATTTTGCCTTCAGCAATATCTTTCAAGATTGCCGCCTCGAGAGTTTCTCCGGTGAGTTCGAATTTATCATTGACAGGAAGGCTTTTTGCTGGAAGTAGATTCAAGAGACCCGCTCGTTGAACAGAGCAGTGGGCCTTTAAGCGTTAAAGAACGAAATTAATACAATAATAAATTATAAAACTTGTCAATCAACAATTGAATTTAGCTAATTACCTGAGCGGAAGTGTAGCAAACCAGCTTCGATAGGGCTTCAAATTTTGACGTTCCAGGATTGGCGGTGATGTACTTGTTAATTGCTTTGTTACGAGCAGCCATCATGGTTAGTATCGTCTGTTCACTACAGCTTGTCTATCAACAAATAAGCGTTGCAAATTCATCAGAACAGATATATGTGACCGTAGTACTAGTATGCACAGGACTATTCGAACATGAAGATAAGTAGCTGTATTAGAGACGAAACAGTTTTGCGAAGAGTAAGATGATTTAGTTCATGGATTCAAGATAATTTGTTATTCAATTCTAAGCTCGGAGTTGTAAATGCAATCCGATTTTTGGAAGAGTTCTTTAACGCTGTGAACGACATGTGGTGCTTTAACTATCGAAGACTGGTAGTCAGCTCTGATCTTCACACCTAACGAAATGTGATCCCTTCAATAGCATGGAGGCATTGGTTCCTTTATCTTGAGCATTCGATAGCATTCGATGACTTCGGCTGAATTACTTAGAGGTGTGGATTTACCCTTTTTATAAATGGATTTGCAAAGTTGGTTGTGTTTTTAGCCGTAACTTTGAATCTGGAATCTGATAACTCTAAAGAGCCTCAAAGTGATAAGGATCATGAAATTGCTGAACTGCTGTCCAAAGGAGAAGTTTGCTCTACATTGAAATCTGCCTGTAGAACTTCCCAGAGCTAAATATTCGCAAGACTTGCAATGCATGGATCGGCCGATGTCATTCCACACAATGAAGGCCTTAATCACAAGAGAATTCAAGA